AAACTTTTTTTTTTGTATGAAAACTCTCTTACAGCAATTTTTCTGCTTGACATGCAGTCTTATCATGTAAACAAAACAAGAATGAGAGAACAGAACTGTAACATCCAAACCATACTAAATTCATTGATTGTACAAATTATAAAAGAGAACTTAAAAGTACCATCCACTTTCCTAAACTTGACCACCACTGTTAGAAAACAGAAGCTCCACACAGCAATATAACATTTCAACCCCAGAAGGGGGGAAGGAAAAAGAAGAACAAAAAAAACCACCAGATAAATACTGTCAGAGGCCGACGTTCGAAAGAGAAACAGCATAACAAAGGATTGAAAACTTCAACCGAACCCAAAACTAAATACTATATACCTTCTATTCGGCAGCAACATCGTCATCATTGTTAGTCCCTTCGGTTTGAATCTCTGGAAGAGTCTCTAAATCCGTTCGGACTTCCTTCTCCTCAACAGAACCCGACATATCATCAGATTCCGACAAGTCAATGCCATCTTGCTGAATTTCTTCATTGGGATTATCATTGCCTGTGGATTCCGAGTTTTCCGGGTTTTCGTATGTACCATCACTCGTATCCTCTTTCTCGGGCTCAACACTATTGCTATTCTCAGTTCTATTCTCTGAACCCACAGAGGCCTCTAATGTAGCATTTTGTCCCGACAGTAAAGCCTCCGTATTATCGTTATTATTATCTGAATTCGAGAAATCCTCAGACTGTGATTCCCCATCTTTAGTTTCGCCAGAACCAGTCGAATTAGTCAAGATTCCATCATTAGACTGTGGTTCGGCATCTTTACTTTCACTGGGACCCGCTGAAATAGATTCCATCCTGTTAGAACTGTCATTTGAGATAGAATAACTATTGCTTCCCTCTAAAGCCGGGTCATTTCCTGTCGAATCACGACTAAACCCTTCGACTACAGTGTCATTCGGAGGCGCATGGTTTTCAGACTCATTCAACACATCAACATTCGCCTCATTGGTCGTGATGGTTGACTTTTGGTCAAATGCACCGGTTTCGCCACCTCCCGCGTCCAAATCATCCCGATTTTTCTCCTCTTCGTTAGTTTCTTCTGTTTTATTCCCATTCCCCATGCTCTTCTCTTCAAGAACATTCTCCACATGCTCATTCGAGTTTTCAGTACTTCCATGGGCATCGTGAGTCACGGCACTAGAAGCATCGTCAGCCTTGTACTGCTCCTCACGAGCCTCGTGCGTGCTTTTGTCATCCGACTCACTTTCATTTTCACCCACAACACCATCCCCTTCCGTTTCCACTTCTCGGGATTCGATTTCTTCATCTACAGAATCCTCTTCCTTATCAACTTCGGTGTCATCCGGATTTTCTTGTTCGCGATCGTCCAGATTATCTTGCTCGTGACTGTTTATTCTTTCAGGCTCATCATCTTCAGGCTTGTTTTCCTCATCCTCTTCAATGATACCCTCATCCTCTCGTGAGCTGACAATGTCTTTCCTCCCGAGTTTTATTATCTCACCATTGTTAGATTTTGTTTGTAGGGAGGATTTCGAGTCGAGTTCCTCGAATTCTCGTTTCTTGTCGTGAGAGTGTTTGACTTGGTATATCAGCCAGAAGCAAACGGCTAGCAACAAGCAGATTTGGAGGACATACTTGAGCTTCAGCCGTTTGGACCTCTGGTTCCTGCTGGGGGACTGCTTGTACATGGTGTGTTGATTAATTTTGTTCGACCTGTAAATTCAAGATAAACCAAATCTAAAGAAAAAACGAAAACAAATGGTAACTTTAAAAACTCCAGCTATAAATTTAAACCAAGAGTTTAACAATTAGAAGCAGAACTCGTGTCTCACAAATTTCCTCGTAAAAGAAACTACATGTCAGGAATGCTAATTCATAGAAAATAAGGAAAAAGAAAAAAATATTTGGCGAACATAAAAGTTCGGATGAACATGAAGCCCTATAAAGGTTTCTCTCTTAACTTTATGTTATCAGGCTTCCAGCTAATGAATTCTCGTTTTCTGGAGATTGAACTCAGAAGAGCTCTTCATATCATCCTCACTTCCTATTTCCTTTTTCGGTAAATATATAAAACACCACCAACAAAATGTTGGCTGCTTCTGGTTATTACAATTGTTTACTATTCAGCTACAAGCTAACATTAGTCAGAGTGTTTCAGAACTTATCCTTCACTAGCAACCAGCACAATATATGGGCATTCCTCAAGTTATCAACGCTTAGTTATTATTCACATAAAATTTCCATCGGAAAACTCTAAACGCAAGAAAATCACAGTACCAACCGTGGCCTAACTGAACTAATAATAAAATGAGCTGAAACATAGAAAGCAAAATTTCAATAAAGGTCACTTACATAAAACCATCACGATAACATATTAAGTTCACAATCCACAACCGGGAAGCAATTACCAGTGGGAAGGACAAAGTCAACCCGAGTAAATAATCGTTTCAACCCATCTCAAGGAATTAAAGAGAGAATCATTGTGTTGAGTTTAAATGCAGATTAAAAATTTCCACCCTTGACCAAAGTAACAAACACAGGAACTTCCAGTTAGCAGCGTAATTAAATAAACCCGTTGCAAGTTACAGAATCACACATGCTCAATTTCAGTCTCAAGTTTCTTCAATCAACTCCTCACCATCGAAAATGTTTATCGATCTAAAATTAGCCCCTTCGGAAAGAATGGGACCAACACCGAACGGAAAATAACTTCTCCGGGTTAGAACAATATTAGAAATCAAGTATTCATTTCAATCGATCATCGGCATTAGTATTCCAGGTAAGGTTTTAAGATTTGAACTCCAGAAGCGAACCAAATGGAGAAACAATTCAAGCATCAAACACGAATTTCAACTAATCAAAGGATGCCTGAAGTAAAATCCCTAAAGAACTGAAATCAAAATCAAAATCTTCCCAGCAAAATCCCAGTAAACCCAATTTCAGAATCAGTAATTAGAAGCCATAAAACCAATTCACTGTCAAAGAACTCCATGATTATTGATTGCATTCAACATTAATAACCCATTCCACAACCCAACAAATATCACTTCATACCTCACTAAAACGTTAAATTGCTTCAAATTAAGTGAAAAAAAAAAGCCCATAAACAGCAAAACGAACCAATGCACAGTATCAAGAACACAAAATTCAGAAAAAAAAAAATACCTTGAAAAATACGAGGACCCAGAAACCCTGTGATTAGGTCCGAACACCCACCAGTAGCAGCTGAACTTGAAATTGATAAGCCCGGAGAAAAAAAGAGAGCTACTAATCAATAATCAATTAGGCAATAATGGTTCCTTGTTTTTTCTGTATTGACAGCTCGCTCTATCGCTCTCTATAAATTCTCTCTCTTATCTCATCTGGTATAGTCAGTGATAAATGTCGAAGGAGTGTAGTTAGCAATTTTCTACAGTACACCAAAGAGTCGAGAGACAGTTGTGGACTGAATGAATACAATTCGGGTTTACGGGTTCAATACCCGTTTACGATTGGATCATCTCCAACTTTCTTCCGTACTACCCGTTTATGCATAGTATAAACTAGTACAACACCCGTGTATTACACCCGTGTTTGTTAAAAAATTATTCTTAAATTTTAAAATTAATAAAAAAACTAAATTAAATTTAGTTACAAAAAATAAATATTACTATATATTTTAGAATGAGATATGTTACTTATGACTTACATGTGTTATATTATATTAGTTGTTATAACTTATATCATATAACTACTTGAAATATAAATATATTAGTTGATAAATAATTTTATTTTTCTAATTAATATTAAAAATAATTTTATTATTGTTATAAAGATAAATATAATTTTTTTTTATACATACAATATGGATATTAAATCGAAACTCATCAAAAGAAGATTAATTTGATATATTACATATGTAAAACTGATAAAAAAATATAAAAGTTATTAACTTTTAAAATATATATACAATTCAATAGTTATAATAAGGAATGATATTAAAATACAACTAGTACGTACCCCGTGCGATGCACGGGACAAAGATATTAAATGAGTTATTTTCACAGCCTTGTCCGCTTAAGTCTAAAAGTAATAATGTTATTATCTATTTTCTACCTCTTTTAATCAACGTTAAGTCTAAAAAATTATTAAGCCGCCATCTGGCAAATATGTATGGAGTTATGTGTTCGTGTCTCATAAGTCACAAACATTATGAATAACATTACAAATTATTCATTCAAACTTTTATTCATTGCAAATATATTAAAATAATTTATATAACAGCCATTAAATACCACTTTCAATATATTTATAAATAAAATGTACATAAAATTTCTGGGGTGTTCAAATTTAAATAATTCTTTATGGGCTCAATTTTAAATCATCTAGATATTTAGTCAAACGCATAGGTGTGTTCAAACTTAAATCATTGACATTTTGGTCGGTTGAAATTTAAACCATCTACCATGGTACTGTGATGTATATTATATATATACAAGTTTTTTAACAAATAATATGTGCTTTATTAAAATAATAATAATAATAATAATAATAATAATAATAATAATAATAATAATTTCACAAGATTTTAAACGTAAAATTTGGTTTTTAATCACAATAGAAAAATCATGTTAAGTTGTATTGAAAAGGTGTTATGAAATTAAACAATTAACTAAAATAATTAAATAAAATATTTGATGGAAATAGAATGTATTAATTACCTTTGACTTTTCTTATCACTAATTCTAGTAAATAGAATGTCTTTTTATGTAAGTATAGATTAATACATTAACATGGCCATAAATAATCAATATATTTATAGTAATCCGAACCTAATTATTTTTGGTTTGGAATTAAATTAAAATTTATCCAAGTCTAATAACGAAGCATGTAATTTTGCCACATAGGATTCCGAAGCACCAGAAGCAGCCACGTAGGCTCAGCGCATTCTGTATTAATATATAGAGGGGAAGGGGATTTACGGGAAATGCTAAAGTTTCGTTAAGGAATTATTTTATCAGAATTTTTAATTGTTAGATCATCATGTAATCGTTTGGAGATTTAAATTTACACAACCTAAACGTTAAATGGATAAAATCATCATATTCAATAAATAAAAGTATTTATTTGAGCTATTGAATATTAAACTTATATATGTGTTTTTTAAAACATAACTTTTGTCAAGAGACTTTGCTCAAGGTTATATTAATAAATTAGTAATAGGGTGGGATACAAACCTCATAGTTTTGCACGAATGAATATATACATGACCATTGAATAATTATGAAGTCTCATTATATAATTATCTTCATCATTTTAAAGTGTAATAAACCATTGACATTGAATATTCAGGTTTTACAATCACGAAACGGACTCAATATGAAATTTCTCGCTAAATATTTTTTCAAAATAATTCAGAACGTGTTGAGTTTAACTGGCAGGCTCACACGCTTTGGATGCTTACATAGCAAAAATCTATGCTGCACAATGATATTTGTATATTAATTTCTTGATTTGGAATTGGGCTTGGTATAGACATAAATATTTTTTTTTTTTCAAATTTAGTAAATATACATTTAATTTTGTTACTTTTTTTTCTCTTAGTAAACATTTTCTTCTTAATTTGGGCAAGTAGCAACCTTACCATCTTATAATTTTTTCCCATATATGTTTCCTAAAGTACGATATACAAATTATTGTCTGCACTTCTATTCCTCTCTCTTTTTTTCCATTAATTAGTCCATCAAATTTTTAAATATAATTTATTTAGCTATAACTTTAATAATATATTTTTTATCCGTGTAGTAAACGGGTATTGTACTAGTGTTTAATTACAGCAAAATATGATTTAAACCTTTCGGGCATCTTGCAAAATCCCTGGTGGTGGCAGGACTCGACCTTAATGCGGGCCCTTAGTAAGGTATGGCCCGACGTATTGAGAGGATTACGTTGGATCCTAGGTAATGGAGAGAAGGTCTGATTCTGGCTCGACCCTTGGCAGGGGTGGACGCAGAATGTTAAAAGTACGGGGGCACAATATAATTTATAAAAGAACAAAAAAAAACGACAAACGTTACATTACAATTGTTCTCTATGTGTTTTCTAAAAAAATACGCTATAAATAAGAAATAACATTTACGACTATTTATTAAAATCATGAAAGCCCTAAATTAAAAATTACATCAATTTTAAAAATTCTCAAATACAAATGTTGGGTTATAAAAATTAGAAAACAATTAAATAAAGCATACTTTTTGGAATAAAAATTGATAGCCACTAAGGAAGTAGAAGTTTTAAACCTATACCTATTGAGTATTGAAGAATTTATTTATTTATTTTTTACTAATTGCATCCAAATTTTATAGTTGGGCTGGAGGGAGTAAAAAAAGATAAATGTGAACAGAATATAAGATGACATACGGCCTGACGAAAATAAAATAATTTGGCTTGTTATACTATTGGGTCCACATGACAACACAATTAAAATATATATTACATACTACATCACAAGAAAACTTAACACAAAATATATATATTACATACATATAATATATACTGACAGTTCTCATACCACAGGGGCACGTGCCCCTGCGGGCCCCTATGTGGGTCCGCCCCTGACCCTTGGCTTAGTATGGTTGGTCAACTGGTTAGATATTTTAACCGACAGACGCAAGATGTGAACCTCCTGTCGAGGGTCGCCGAATTTGTG